ATCATCATCATCATCATCATCATCATCATCATCATCATCATCATCATGCATCATCATGCATCATCATGCATCGTCATGCATCATCATCCATCATCATCATCATCATCATCATCATCATCATCATCATCATCGTCGAGTTTTTTCCTGTCAAGTCCTCACATCCCTCTCCAGTCCTCCTCCGCGAAAAAAGGTCAAAAAGGTCTCGCTTGCCGGGTCGTCTCCTCGTTGGGACGGTAGAGACAGTCCGACCCGACCGTGAGGTTCAGGCTCCGACAACATCTTTGCCTTTGGTGCTTCAGGCGGTCACGGCGCGGCTGCAACGCGCGCGCGCGCGCGGCTCCGACCGGAAGCCGCCCAAGGGCGGCGGGAAAGCTCCGAACACATCGGCGAAACAACGCCGCGAAGCAACGGAGATTGGTTTGTACATCATGGAAACTGGTGAGCTGGCCACAGGGACAGTCCTCCCTCAGGAACAGACTGTGACTAGACCAAAGACAACCGGTTCCGTTCCAGGTGTGCCGACAGCCGGAAGCAATAAGCTGCTCGTTTGCAGAGGGGACGATTTTGTGGGGGGGCGACGGTGGACGGGACTTGGATGCAGTAAATGGAGTCAGGAAGAACATGCCTAAGTCGTCAGAAGAACTCCAAACCATAGGCATCACCGGCATCGCTGTCCGCAACAAAAAGTGGTGGAAAATAGGGCTTCAACCCTATAAAGATTGTCTTGCAAGCATGCTGCAATGTTCAAGGCTCTGAATGGCCTTGCATGGATTGTGGAACATCGTCCCGGCCCGCAGGAAGAAGCGGAGAGCAGAATGATGGCGGAAGAATCGATTCGCGAATCAGTCCGCCGTTGGACAAAAGGACGACTGCGTTGGCAACAATCTCAGACCACTTTTAGATGAACAGGTACTCAAAGAGTTGATGCCAGGGTGTCAGGGGTCTCCCACATCTACACACCGGATCCCACGTTCTCCTTCGACCACATAGAAAGGACCGTTGACTTGGACTCATCGATGCGACTGTTGAAAGGGCTGGGTTACGACGTGCTACAACCGATGTGACCTTAGATCGTCGATGGACTTCGGTGCCCGTGTTCCACATTGTTCCACTGTGGTTTGAATCTTGCCGCGGAATCGGTGCAGTTGGTGCCACTCTTGAATGCCTTGTCTTTTTTTGTGTGAGCAACCGAACAGTTGGTCCGGTCCACTGCAGCCCTGCGGCTTCAAAGCCAAGCGGCTTAAGTTGATGCCTTTTAAGGCAGGCGCAATGGATTGGACGGCCCATGGTGCTTTCAAAAAACGTTCTAGAAGTGCGTGTACGTGTGAAACCAAGCAATCAGCTGGAGCATCCTCGTTTCCCACACTGTAGCTTCTTCCATCCCACCAGAAGAACCTTCAAGGACAATGGAATTTCAAACGAGTGTAATTGTTTCAATCTTGCGACCCAAGAACCAATGCCAGACATGCAATTAGTTTCCGGCCGTTGCAAGCGGTCTTCGGTCTCCTTATGAAGGTTCGCTTGGGCGGACACGGAAACTCACCGTGGTGTGTGTGTGTACCCTCTGGAGTCACGAGGTTCCTGTTGCATTGGTTTAGCTTTTGATTTCTTTAGCAGGGGGTCCAGGCAGTTGTGAGTTGGCCCTGGACCAACGAAGACGGGCTCACAACTGGTGACGCGAGAGGGGACGCCTTCTTGTGTACCTGCACAAACTTTAAGATTTCGTAAAGGTCTAATGAGTTCGGCAGTCATGCACGATACGCCGTCATTTGTCGCTTCGACTTCGACTTGCGCTTTTGGACTTCTCTCCTTTTGAAGACCTCCAGGCTCCAGTGGTCCGTGCTTGCACCCTTAGGAAATGGTAACCTAGGCCGGTGTGTGGCACCGCGTTCACATCAGTATGCATTTCTATAAGTGTGTCTGGCTTATGCCAGCCCCGGGTGCCCCGAGGAGTGTCCCCTGTGGACCCGTCGAGCGGTGGTTTGTCGTTGTTCCCCCTGCCCGGGAACGAAGGTGTCCGAAGCGGACAGAGTAGGCTTAGGCCAAAGATATTTGCCAAGACTTGCTGAGTTATTGAACTCCAAGCTGGCTCATGCCTTTACGTGACCGCAGCAGTCTAAGCAGCCAGCCATTTTGGCACGGCGTACGTAGCCGCAGCGGCCGAAGCTTGTTCAAGGTTCATTGGAGCCTGTCAGAGCCTCAGAGTGTAATGAGTTCCTCCCCCCTGTTCACGTTCCACCCGCCATGCCACCATCTCCTGCTGGCCTGGCACCGATGGAGGGCATCCCTATCCCTATGGTGGCTCAGGCAGTTCTTCGTCGGGAAGTTCTTCATGTACGTGAATTGTTGGAACTCATTTTGGGGATGCTTCGTTCCCGCTTGGCGACTCACCGTTTTTCATAGACCCCATTTTCACTCAACCTGACACTGACCCCCGTCTGGAGCTTAGCTGAAAAGGACGCCTCCTTTAGGGGAGGCGTGTGTGTGTGTGTACCCTCTGGAGTCACGAGGTTCCTGTTGCATTCGTTTACCTTTTGATTTCTTTAGCAGGGGGTCCAGGCAGTTGTGAGTTGGCCCTGGACCAACGAAGACGTGCTCACGACTGGCGAAGCGAGAAGGGACGCCTTCTTGTGTACCTGCACAAACTTTAAGATTTCGTAAAGGTCTAATGAGTTCGGCAGTCATGCACGATACGCCGTCATTTGTCGCTTCGACTTCGACTTGCGCTTTTGGACTTCTCTCCTTTTGAAGACCTCCAGGCTCCAGTGGTCCGTACTTGGACCCTTAGGAAACGGTAACCTACGCCGGGGTGTGGCACCGCATTCACATCAGTACGCATTTCTATAAGTGTGCGCCACATGCTGGCATGCTTACATCAATTACGCCTAAACTTGGCGCTAAGCAAGCTTGATCGGACTGTGCCATCATGACAAAACGTTACTGGGAGGAAGCGCTCAGCCCAGGATACCGATATGCAGCTGTGTGACAACATGTGCACATGATGCAGGAAGGAATTCTTATCCATTTTACCATCTTGCATTGGCAGAATGTGCCAGGAGGACCAGGCGAATGTTTTTGACACCTTCATCGCAGACTTAAGATGCGCATTTTTGGCGCCACAGGTGCTGCTGCTGTTTCTCTTTGTCGCGAAGGCAGAGTATTTTGGAGGTGCGACAGACAGCGCGGGTAAAAAGGAAAAAGGGCATCTGGAAGAATGTCGAAACCCGAAGAACCAGGATCTCCAGTCTTGCAAAGCTTGGTCTTCTCGAAACTGGCTCTTCTTCAGCATGACTTGGACATTTGCTGTGAGACTTCTTGAGATTCCGATCAGGCAGCCAGCCCAGTGACCCCGTTGCTGTTGTCCCACGCTTAAGCTTCCTTTTCACGTTTCCGCGGAGCCACCGCGGAAACCCGCGGAGCCACGGTCTGAAACCGACGAGACGAGTCTGAGACCTCCGTCTCTTCCGTGCCATGGAAGCAATCCAAGCAATTCCACGCGACTGATAGGGAGGACATATGTTGACATATATGACATATCATATGACATAATATTGACATAGTTTTTCATATGTTGTCGATGTCACCCATTTTGTTGGTCAAACAAACGTTCGCACCTCATATGTCACAAACATCTCGGTTGGCACTATGAGTTGAGGTTGCTTACCTCCCGGAGTGGCGCTATGAAGGCGTCGGACTTCTGCCGGTCGAGTGGCGCCTTCGGTTTGAAAGAAGCGCTGTCGGTCTGTCAGTGGCTGTTTCGTTTCAAGAATTACTGGGACAAAGCCGGACAAGGGAAAATGGATGATTTCAGATTTGTAAAATTGCTTGGCTGCTACAAGCAATTAGCTTTGTTAGTTCAAGTTCTTCTCGTACCTGTCTTCGGGTTCTTCAAACATTTATCTCACTTGACACTGTGATGCCCTTTGCTACTAGTAGCTTCTTGTTCCTAGTAGCAATGCCCTTGTTACTAGTAGCTTCGAGCTACTACTAGTCCAATTCAGCACTGACCTCAACAAGAATGTGGGTGGCCTTTCACAGACCGTTGAACACACCCGTGGGAGAGACCAGGCGCCAACTGGGAGACGATCAGCGAGCACACCACACACCTTTTGCGCCTTGGCAGGAGCTAACGGTGCATTGCTTAGGCGAAGCTATATAGGTGGCCTTTGCTCGGTGCTACTAGTAGCGTCCTTGCTCCTAGTAGTAAGGCCAGGAGCCCCTAGTAGCGTCCTTGGAAGAACGTACTTTCAAGGAGTATGAGCATTCACTGCCAATGCAGCGAGACATAGAGAGACCCGCCTCAGACCTTCCTTGGAGGCTCTTCTCATTGGAGATGACCGCGAAGGGTCAGCACCTGAGTGTCTGATTTTCCTAGAGAAGATACTTTTCTTGGGTGGTACGACCAATGGGATACCTGGCACTGACCCCTTGTATTGATTCCCAAGTACGGACAAGAATTGCGACGTACGACACGAACTTTGCGAATCAGGAAAGATCGTGGCCTTGGACCGCTTCCCTCGCAAGGCTGGCCCGATACTTCTCTGGTCGCGACTTCTCCATGGCTGTCCGCAAGCGAGTAGAACATGCGCGTGGTGCAGCGATCATTTTGGGTACCGAGGGCGGAGAGCCCGCTGACAGGTTAAGTTTTATTTATGCTTTTAAATCTATATAATTGTTGAATGATATCATCTCAAGTGCAGAGAGGGTGATTCTTCTGCGGTTTCTCATTCGTCCAATACTCCTGGCTGCAGGAGCTTTATGAGCAAGTCCGCCAGGCGACTCCGGGTGTGCTGAGGAGGTGATTAGCTGATGCTGACGTATGATTTGGGTGAACTGCACACAGCCCCATGTGTCAAGTGAAATCGCTGCACACAGCCCATTAAAAACAAAAAAAAAACAGGAGACACGGCTGAGATAGAAGTTTCATTCATGCTGGATAGAACATAGCAAGATGGTGGACGTGAATTGATCAATACTGACATCATATACTATAATATATGAGAAGTCTGTGGCACCTTTCCGCCACCCCAGAGTCATAAGGACTGGTTGGTTCAATCGCTTCACAAAGAGAGAGAGAGAGAGGGAGAGAGTGGCGGAACAATGCTACCTGTCTTGCTTGGATGCTCTTGTTCTTCTTTTCTTTTCATGCAACCATGCAAATGACCACATGCAAAGCGCATCGGCAGGCAACTCGAAAGCATGGCACAGCTCTGATGATTTGCCTGGGCCCTTCTGGACCCGAAGCAGCTGGCTTTTTCTTTGAGTTGCTCCCGGTGGCCATTTGTGCTGCAACTCCAACTTGTAAGCATACGCCAAATAACATCAAAGAACTGCCCAGCTGAAAGCCTGAAAGCTGAAACAATCCAGGCGTATTGCAGCCAGTCACTATGCTACCGTATACCGTATGCAGCCAGTCTTCCACTTTCGATTCGATGCAGCGCAGCGAGACTGCTGCGCAGTCCCGTTCCTAAAAGATGGACAAAGAGAGACACCCACAAAAAGACAAAGGTCACAGGTTTGGGCGGTCAGATCCATAAAAGGACATGATTCCCTGACAACATACAACATGCCGCCACTTGCTCCCTTGATCGTTAAGCCAGTCGCGACACATGAGTTGTGGCGACCTCAGCATCGTGGCGACACAGTGAGACATGAGTTGTGTTTTTTCTCAAGGGGGCTGGCCAACCCCTGTTTTCTTGCTTGTGATTTGGATTGCAACAAAGGCCTGATTTGATCAGTGTGGAGTACTTTGGCAAGACCGCCTCCAAGCAGGACAACCATGGAAAAACATGTGCATGCAAGCTTGCAGAGGCATCTATATAGAGGCCGTCATACAGGGTATGCCAAGTCTGGCTCTAGGACCACCCATCACCAGAAGATTGCCAAGATATGCCCACATGCTTCCTTTGCGTTCGATCATGGTGAAATCGGTGTCCAAAGAGCGACCTTGACAGACAGACTCTTGGTCTTTGCGAGAGGAAGATGTTTCCTTGTCTATGGTGCAGTCGAAAGCTGGGGTGCGCAAGAAGCCTGCAGGGCTAAAGGAGAGGGATGCACAAGTGCCGTAGACGCAATGCTCTGCAGAGCTACTCATCAAGGCAGCTAGGAAGCAGCAAGTCATATACTGTTCGTGTGGACGCCTGCGTAACAGGAAGGCATCCAACCCTAGGTGCACATCCAGGTAAGGCATAAATTGTTGCAGGGGATGATTTCCACCAGATATAGTAAAGACACAAGTTCCATCAGCTCATCCTTGGCTGGGCCTGTTAGGAGCACATTATTTGCACCGAAGGTGCTATGGAGCTGACCTTTGCAGGCAGACGTCCTGTGTTTGTGTGTACTTGTTCATATGATTTCATATGTGTGAGGCACTCCCAATTGCTGTTCCCACACAATTTATCATTCCTACGATCCTTTTCCTCAGTGTGAAACATTGCACACAATGGTGGCAAGTGAGAGATTTTATAAGATTTAAGATACTAGCATTGTGCCGGGCCAAGGTCAATCCAATTTATATGAGTGAATGAAACACAGCGCATCGTTAATTTGCATTAATTTCATGTGTGTGTTTTGGCTTTGCCTGGGCCTAGGTGGCAGCTGCAGCATTGACGCTGGCCAAAGTGTTTTGCTTCCTCATGGACTTGCAGTCGAATGCAAGTGCGAGGGTGCCTATACAGTGGTGAGCCTTCCAGCACCTTGCCTTCAATGGAGAGAGGCTAGCGGCTATGCTGCAATGGGGGTTGTGGCAAGCTACAAGTTGAACTGGAAGGATCTTTCAGTTTTGGATGCCTAGACCAGACTCGTTTTTGTTCACGGGCAAAAGAAAGCAAGAAAGGCAAGATCTTGATCATGTGCCTATATTTTGACATGCGCCCCAGGCACATGTGGAGCACTCTGATGAAGGAGCTGAGGCCTTTTGAAGCAACATGTGCATGGAGTTGTTCCACGCTTTCTTCCTGCCATGGCATCAAGTGGCCAGGTCAGTGGGCTTACACCGGTCGTGGTGGAGAAGGTCGACGTGGTGGATGCACCAGGAACCGACCTGAACGGTAGACCTGGTCGGGACTTGTTGCGACGGGTGGCAGACCTGGCCGCTCTGGTATCCTATGATTTACTGCGAGAGATTTTATAGTGGAAAGAAAGGCACTGAAGATCATTTAAAGTCAAGTTTGCCCTTCAGATTCTTGCCAGGAATTACCATCAGCGAGCACTTTGGTAAAGTAGCATCAAATGATGGTGCGTGCTCCCTGGCGCGGGCTGTAGTGAAAGGCCAGGTCGGCTGGATGCATTTGGCAAGCGGGACCCTGTGACAAGCACGGCAGACCTTCCCAAATCGGCCATTCTTCGGACTCTTCCTCAATGTGCTAGCAATCTGGTGCATGCAGTGCACACTGTTTGTACCGTGCCTTGGGAAATCACCTACTACAGTAAACCAATAGCTTCTTGTTACTACTAGTAAGGCACTTGTTCCTAGTAGCGTGGCACTTGTTCCTAGTAGCGTGGCACTTGTTCCTAATTAGTGAAATTTGTACGCTCTCGAGTTGCTCGGAAGTATTATGACCCTGTCGGCACTCTCGGCTAGTCTGCTAGGAGCCTCCGAGGAGGCATTCCAGGCGCCTTTGTTTGACGAGTTCGTTCCACGGCACTGGAGCCAAAGAGGAGAAGAGTTTGGTGCACAAAAGAACGAAAGAAGGTTGAAACATCTGGAGAAAGAAAGGAAAGAACAGAATCAGAGATGAAAAGAAACAGATAAGAATAAACAAAAACACACATAGAGGCACCACAGGTCTAAAGGTCTACGTAAAAATAATTAGCAGTCGAAGTCAACGTTTGTTTGATGGTGGAAGGTCAGATGGTTGATTTGGTGAAGCTCCAGCTGAGGTTGTTTGTGACCATGGTTCAATTGAGTTCCTCTATGGCGAGAGTGAGCGAGTTAAGATTCATGCAGGCGAGGCAGTCTTTCTGCCAAACTCTTTGAGGGTCCAAGTCTCAGTTTGTTGGGCGGCACTTGAATCCAAAGCTTCAGTACACGCTCAGATGATCAAATCAGATGTCAAAATGACGCCATTTGCTGTACTGTAGTTTCAGAGTAGATGGCACAAACCCAAAGATGTCTTTTATACGGGGGTCCATAATGAATTGCCCCGCCATAATTGCCCCACCTACCTTTTGGGGGCCCGACCGTGCCATCCAACCTCTGATGGCCCATTGTAACTCTCAGTCAGTCATGGCCTCCAACCTAAGAGCGTAAGAGCGATGGCCTCCAACCTAAGAGCGACGGCCTCCAACCTAAGAGCGTAAGAGCGATGGCCTCCACCTAAGAGCGATGGCCTCCACTTTTCCGCTTTTCCGAGAGTCTCCGGCGCCGCAGCTTTCGCGGGGGACGCCATGTCCCTGGAAAATCACTACAGAGTGAGAGCCCCAAGGTCGGCACCACATGCTAGCGTGGCCTTGAACTTGTGGATGTAGTCCTCAACTTGTTGGAAGCGCGCTTCGTCCATGCGGCATGTCAGGCAATGTGCCCAGAACACAGTGGTGCGTGAACTGGGACGGACATAATGCGTGGCTAAAGGCAGCCCTTCAAGTTTGTGAATCCGGATTAGGAAGAGCCGGAACCACTTAACCCTATCTTGGAGCTCGAAATCCTGTGCCTCAGTTCGTATCAACCACTGCCACGAACTGAAGTTGCGACGAGGCCGGATGCCCCCACTATCTGTGGTCAAGACGAAGTCTATCAAGGTGTACAGCCAGGGAATATGAACAATCGGCGCTGTAGGCGACTGCAGGCTGCGCGACCAGGTGGAAATGTTCTCCCAGCCCTGGCCGACGAGCTTGTCTGTGATCGTCTGTGGTCGCATTGGGAGTATCGGCAAGGTCGGTTCCAACAAAGGGAGCGGATGCGCTGTCTGAGGTGGATCAGCTGCGCTGGCTGGTAAGTCTTTGGTGACAGCATCTTCACTAACCTGCAATATGGTGGCATGCACTTGGTCTCTCAAGACTTTGGCCGCCGCTAGGTCTGCGACAGCTTGTCGCCACTTACTGTGCACTTCGTGGGGGTAGAATGTGCCCCACTGGGCGCCATGATCAGCGCAGTCGTTTCCTGCAAAGGCCCAAAGATCTACCCAGTGGAGATTGGTTTTCTCCTGGTGGCTAGCTATCTTTATGACTGCACCTAACGAAGATGGCACCGTGCGGGCAAGTGCAAGTAATTCATACCAGAGATCCTGGTCCTTTCGGTGGACTCTGCAAGCAGCGGGGTCATGCAAGGCCACCTGGAGCATGCTTACTACTTGGGAGTTATCACACCACACTCGCATTGGCCGGTCTTGAGTGATCACATACCGCACTGCACTGATGGCTGCCAGGATTTCGGCCCTTCCACTAGTTTGTCGTCGACCTGGGACTAGGCCTTGTGCAACTGGCCACCATCGGTCCGTGTCAGATGGATCCGCGGCTATCACACTCTAGCCTGCAACCCTGGTGTACTGGCAAGTTGGGTTGGCGCAGGAACCATCGATGAACAGGTCAACGGCACGGAAGGGAACCGGCTCAAACCAACCGGTGTGAGGCTTCTGTGCCATAAGCATGCGCTGGAAATCACGAACCGACTGAGGCACACCCATCCATCCGTGGAACGTGAGACATTTGGGGAGCCCCCCTTCCAGGATCTTGGCTGTGAGCCACGGGTGTGGTCTAGAGCTATCAAAATGGCTGCATTCCCAAAAGCGGTGAAATTGGGAATCAGGATTTCCACAAAACTTGCAATTGAGAGTATGCGCCTTTTGATTATGGGTCTGAGTATCGGCCGTGAAGAAGGTGCCATTTAATACCTTACGCAAGAGGCCTGCTTTGTGTGGGCCAAGCTTGGCCATGTTTTCTAAGGTAAACGAGGCATCTACCCACTCCATGCCCTGGAATGTTTTGCGTTTGCTAGCGCAGACTTGTGCTTAGTTCTGCCAGCCTTCAAGCAATCGTTGGTGAACCTCTGTGTGGCTACCCTGGAGGAGGTCGAGGGGTTGGGTGTCATGGTCTAAGACCCAACCGTTCCTCAACCATTTCCAACCGATGGCATGCAGTCGTTCGAGCAGGACATGGCTAGGGCCGGGTCTGGCTGGGAGCTCATTCCAATCACACAACACCTGTTCGATCAGGTTGCTTACTCGGTCAGAGTCGGTGTGCCTGCGAAAAGCTTGGACAGTTTGCACCAACAAGAAACAACC